CTGATGTGGCTCCCCTGACCTCTGCAGAATACGACGCCATCTCTGAATGCCTTGAGGTATTGTCACCCTTAAAAGAAGCAACTGTCGAGCTGTCGGCAGAGAAATCTGTGTCAGGGTCAAAAGAAATACCCTTAATTCGTATGCTGAGGCACAGCATCACCTCAAAACAGAGGCAGGTCAGGGGTGCTGTGGCCAGCAAACTGTGTAGTAACAGCTCATGAACGAAAAGCTAAGCCACTATGAGACAGCCAGTCAACATTCTCTCGCCACTCTCCTGGACCCCAGATTCAAGGGATGGGGTTCTGTAATGCTACAAATTCAGAGACTGCGGTAAAAAGACTGACCACCAAATGTGCCACTCTGCTGCGAAACAGTAGCACAACCCTTGACCCACCACAGCCTGCAGCTTCCTCATCGGCAGAATCCTCAGGTAACAGCTTAAAGTTCTCATGCATATGGTACCCTTTTCTGACACTTTGTTTCTGATCATTTCAGTGGCTGGCCTGTGGGATTTGCTGTACAGCCAGGTCTCAGAAAATAGGAAGGTGTCCAGTGCCACAGCAAATGCCACAGTCAAGGTTCAGCGATATCTTGTGGAACCAAACATTCCAAGAGGGGAGGACCCTCTTAAATATTGGGCAAAACAGAAACATGTGTACCCTAGTTTATATGTACTTGCCAAGGAGGTTTTGTGCATCCCAGCATCCTCTGTTCCCTGTGAAAGGGTTTTTTTCCAAAGCTGGGGAGGTTGTCGGCAAAAAACGAAATAGACTCAGCCCAGGAACTGTTGAACAAATTCTGTTTTTGAATAAAAATTACATTTGATCCCCATATTGTCACCAAGCGCAACCACCTGTTCACAACCCCCCCTCACCAAAATCACCTACACGAAGTCCTTGGGACTACAGATGGAAATCAGCCCTAGGCTACAATCTGGCCTGTTTACATTCATGTTGTCCCTACATGTATGTCCATTAACATGCACTGTCCCAAATAAACATCATTTCATTTCAAGTATTCACACCAAGAAAAGCAATTTTATTATATTTAACGTAATGTTGAAATTCAAGATACTTTTATTATATGATCCTGAGGAAGCTTTTCAATGCTTTATTTGTCCATGAAGTTCAATACACCATTTATTTTTAGTAGAATTGGCTGACAATACAATGAAATACAAACATTTACCAGCAGATGTCCTCACTGAGTTTTGAAGCATCGACCCTTGAACCTTTTTTCAATACAATTTGATTGTAAAGCTTTGTTGGTTCAAAAGGCTTCACATCATCATCATCATCACTAACATCAGCAGCAACTCAAAACTAGTAACAACGACTAAACTCTCTCATAAACCAAGTCAATAACAAAACTTCAAAAGACCATCACATCATTTCCTTAACCGAGTGATGCCTTATTTAAAGCAAAGTGTAAAGTTTCCTTTACACTTAAAATGGTTGCAGTTAAGCACAGAGTGTTTTTCAAAGCACCCACCAAAGTTGTAACATTAAACTTAATTTAACAAAACCAAATGCTGCTGAGGAGACAGCTGACCAGAGACAACCTCTCTGGTCAGCTGCTGCCTGAGCTGAAGGCTGGCTGATTTTTATGTTGCTGGCAGAGCTGATCACCAGGAACAGCTGGGAGAGTCTAACTGGGAGGCAATCTAGTGAGATGAGAGGCAGGTGCTGCATCTCCTCACACACACACACACACACACACACACACACACACACACACACACACACACACACACATACACACACTCAGGGGAAAACCCAAATGGCCCTGGGCCATAACACTGCCGCTAAATATCTGTTTACTTTTTAATGGGGCTACAGTGGTGCTGGTGACAAACACACAAGAAGCAGCGTCCTGACCAATCACAAGTTTGCAGTCACCTTCGACAGATGTGTAAAATTTTGGGCATGTCTCCATCACCCTCTGTGAGCCTGTCGGAGAGCCCTTGCGTCGACGCATAATGGCGTTGTGTGTTTCTGCACCAACTCAGACGGAGCAGCATAAATCAGGCTTTGGTGTTGCACAGTGCAATTAGTAAGAAGTCTACTGTGAAATCATCACAAAACAGTCTAATATCTCACTCATGCAAGCCCTCCCCAAGAGTGGTAACACCAGATATAGTGTATTTATCTATTTATCAACTTACTGTGTGTGACTCATATTTGCTTGTCATCTAGAACCTTCTGGTACTGATCTGTAGCTGGAAACAGGCGTGAAACTCACTGAACAGGAGCGAGAGAGTAATTTTTTGCTTAAAAAGTGAACTGCAGTAACCACATTTGACCACATGATGTCAGTCTTACAAATTGTAACTTCAAAGATGTGTTTCACTCATTTAATCAATACATTTGCAGTGGTCTCTAGAAGGAATGAATACCTAAGCTGTACTCTGAGGGGAAAAAACCACCAGTTCGCCTGCTTCAGGAGCTAGGAGTGAGCCACATCAGAGTTGCACTTCAGATGGCAGGTTTTGGAGTCTTAACGTGACTCTACCACTGACTTTGTTTGCTTTGCTCCAATGATGTTTTGTCTGTACAAATAACACAAGCCTGGAGGAGTTCTGTTGTGTGGTGCAGTTGCTAATGCTAATGTTAGCTTAAACTAGCCGTTAAACCAACAACAGTCTTCCCCGTTGTGATTCAAGATGGGTGAGTCCATGAGTGTTAAGTGACAGTGTGACGTAGATCTGTCAGGCTTTTCAAATCCTAGAGTTTCACCGTCTGTCTTCTATCAGAAGCTAATGCAGGACATAGGTGTAGGAGACTTCAGCCTGCATTAAAAACTCAAAGTGACTGATTATAATCAGAAATAATAATTGAAAAAGGGTTTTTCGGTGTTCCACATCTTTAAATAACGAAAACTGTTAAAAGTTTAAATCAGATCATCTCCAACTGCAGGGACAGTGCACAGCAAACAGGAAGTGACAAGAATTTATTTTTGCAAGAGTGCAACTCAAACTCCCTGCAATCTCTGAAGTGTTCCCATAAAGCACAGCATGCCATCATCATCATCATCATCATCATCATCATCATCGTCACTTCCATCCTTGTAGTCACTGTAATCCCTCTCCTACCAAAACAAAAATCCCTCCCAGCATCAGCCAGAGCTAGTTGTGTCTATCAGCCTCATTTGAATAGCATTCTCCAAGCAAAGAGACAGAAATGACTTGTCTCGCCTCCCAAAACAGGTACGTGCTATTTCTCAGAAAGTAATAAAAGCAGCACAAGTCCAATTCCCTACAGTTCTGTAGACTGGAGGTATATTTCAGTCAGACTCATCAATATGCAAAACATCAGAGCTTTGCTCGCCACGAGACTATATCTCCAATGCACGCTTTCAAAGTGTGCATAAACATCATCACATTTTTTTTATTTCCCTCCCAAACAAGCCTCTTTTGGAAGAAAAAAACAAGAATGCAAATGTGGCACAAACATAATCATTTTTTGATCAAGCACTCTGGAATTCAAAGCAGCAATTTGCCCTATGTGACTTTAATGCTCTGCAGGCAATTGTCAAACCAAAGAGGCGCAGAAAAAAAGACTCCAGGAATCAATGCACTACCTTTTATTTAGGAAGACGTGAACAAATCCCAACACTGGATTACATTTCAAAGCACAGAGCCTAGAGCTTTCCTGGTTGGGGAGCATTTGTAGTGTGGGAGAAAGGTGGTGTAGCGTGGAAGAGAGGCATAATCATTATGACCTAACGGCAGGGTGGATGTGGGTTAAGGGATCCGCTTCTCTACGCCTGCAAAGCTCACTCTTCCTTCCTTCCTCTCTCTCTCAAGTTAGTTCCCTGGGCATGTGGTTCCTCGGTTGTTAAATCCCTGCTCCTTTAATCTCCTTACTCAGCTACATCCTCTTTAAAGATGCAGAACTAGAGGAGACGTGGGACACGTCAACCAGAGACTTTTGCTGAGCTAGGCGGGGGCTGGGGTCATGTGGAGTGGGGGTTGGAGAGGCAAAAGTTCGACAAATGCTAATAAAATTAATCCTTTATACTCGAAAAGTGGGCAAGCTAGTCTCATTCTTGAGTCTTTAACTTCATTTATGAAGCAAAAACTGGGAGTTTGGGTAATTTATCTCAAGTAACTTTACAGATATTGTAGAAAAAAGACTAAAGAGGGTCACTTTCAGCATCTAATTACACTGATCACAGTGATAATCAGACGCTAGACTCTTAAAGTAGCACCAATCACCCGTGATTGATTGTGTGCTTCATTTCTCACAGCTAGAATTAACAGATGCACTGATAACACGGCTGCTCGAGTGTGGGAAACAAGTGCACGCAAAGAAAAGAAGTGCTGCAACAATCCGGTAGTCTGCACATCTATGAGCCCCCCCCCCCCCCCCCCCCCCGCATATACACACGCACACACACATGCAATATTCATAACCAAAGTAGTCTCAGTATCATGAAACCACCAAAAGTCTCCCCACCAAGCGCCGCCGTGAGGAAACATCTATCCATCACCTGCAGGCTGGAACACACAGCAGCAACGTTTCAATAAGGGTGCATCACCTGAGACAGTGAGATGAGCGTAATCCATTCAAAAATGGATCACCATCGCCCTGTGAGCCACATGCTGTTCCGTGTGAAAAGACAGCTCTACTGTAGATTTCTAGGTCATCTTGCTGCACAGATCTTTGAAGTTCAGCCGCATTGAGTCGAGCAACTCCGGTAAGAAACGTGCAAAACAACCAAACCATGTCATGTGGGAATGCTGTGGATCAGTGGGAGTCAGGAACTATTCTGGGCTGCATCTAACAACACTTTACTGGATTTATACGGATTTCTTGCAGGGGATACAAAATAGATGAAAGTCATGCAAACACTGAGCTGGAAAGATGAAGATCTGGCTGCCTTTGAGTGTGGGAGGTCACATATCTTCACCAACTCCACAGAATGATCCATCACCAGCCCTCGTAAACATTCAAAATGTAAATAAATGGTTTAACTTGCAATCAGTGGGTCAGCAGTACCTGTTTCCCAGAAGTAGACAGACTTGCTGTCGTCGGTCTGCGTGTGAGCCTTCCAGAAAGCACAGAACAGCAGCAATGTCACCAGAAGGTACCGGCTCTCCCCTGTCCTTTTCTGGAGGGTCCCTCCATCACCCCTCCACCCCGGCCCCATGGTCCGTCACAGGATGAAAGTAAATCCACTCGGCTCCAACGGTCTCCAACAGTCAGGAGGGACAAATCAAACCAAACACACAAGGAAGAAGAGAAAGGCTGTGATGAAGAGTGTGGGTGTGTATGAAAGAGAAATTCTCAGAGGTGCAAACGATAGTCCTGCAGGAGTTGAAGGTCCAGAACTTGTGTTCTCCAGAAGGACTTTCCTCTTTTTGATTGTTTTGGTCCCAACTTGACAGGATGGTCCTAAAGGGAGGTGGTCAGTGATGGGGACGGAGCCTCGGATTGATGGTGCCGTCGTCCTCCTCCATCGTATCTGCTCACGCTGTTTTTGTTGCCGCCTCTGTCCTCTGGCTGCAGAGCAGTGACAGCGGACGAGTGTCTGCAGTGTGGTTCGCCTCCCTCCCTTCTCTTCCCTTCCCTCTCACTCTCTCCCGTCTTCTCCCATTCGCTCGCTCATCCTCTCTTCTCCATGTGCCACCCTGAAATCCCTACACTTGCATTTTTTCCTGTTTTTCCTTCCTCCTCTCATCTTCTTTGATCTTTCATTTTCATTTCACCGTTGCTTTTTCACTCTAGCATTCTCACTCATTACTTTTCTCATTTAAAGTCTTCTTTCTTTGGCGTGAGGATGGATACTCCCATTTCTCCTCCTCTGCTCCCACTCATTTTCCCATGTGAGGTGTTGTGAGGGAAACTGGAGATCAAGCAGAATGCGCACTGGTCATCGGAGCTCCTGCAAAGCACCGCTCCTAGGTTCAGAGAGGCAGTGAGACAAGCCGGACTTAATATAGAGGGAGGAGAGAGGGGAAGGTTGATGGGGAGGTAAGGAGGAGCAAAGCACTAAAGCAGCGAGAGGGAGAACACGAGGAAAATGGAGAGGGGGGTGAATGTGCCTGAGACAGGGGCGTGAAAGAGAAATATGATGGAACAAAAAGGTGATGATGAGAATTTATGGTGAAACTTCAATTATCTATTCAATTACTACAGTTATGCGTGAATCCTGACGTGTTTTAATGTCCAAAATTGACCATTCAGGTGTTTAATTGTTGAAATGTGATTGAGCCAAGGACATGAAATACCTCTAAATCAACCAATGATTCTGCTTCAGCGTTTTTCTTTGCACTGTAACATGAAACCATGTGGTGCTGCACAAAACAATTGTTTTGTTTCTGCAGCAGTTTAATGGCTGAATTTCTATGTAGAACATATTTTATTCCTCAACATTAGACAAAGAAATGCACTTTATTTAACAGGAAAAAAAT